GAGCTACGATTTTTTTTGTTTCAATGGAACCTTACCCTCTTCTGACCTTCCAGACCAGGGGACTTGATCTTATCCAACTTTTCAGCCAAAGTCGGTGTCGACATCTTGTCGCAGACACACAGGCAAAAAAGATGTATATGGTGGTGGTGGGCTGCAAAAAATGAGGCGGTGTCCCTCGTGTCCCTGGTCTTTCTCTGCTTGTGCAGACTCTGGTATCACAAAAAAAAAATCCTTATCGATAACTGGCGGGCTGGCTGGCTGGCAACTGGATGACAGAGCTGCAGGGTGGGGCCGACGGTACAAAAAGTCAAGGTGCCAGTGGTCCGGTATCATTGATGCTTCATACCCTACATCTCTAGCCATCACATCCACATCCCACCAACAGCGCCAAGGAATGACTCCATGTCATCTACACGATTGATCACTAGGGCTTGACAGTGTAAAGAGCTGCATTAAGACCTTCAATCTATATTTTTATAGCGTACTATTTAAACGATTGTTTGTTGCTTTAGAGATGTCCTAAGTCGTTTGCTACTATGTACTTAAGTACTTTACTACGAGGTAGGACCTATGCCCTGCCCGTCTCACCTCCCCTTTTGACTGGCAACAAGATGTCTTTTGAAGCACGACATGAGCGTCTACATTGATAATACGCGCCATCAAAAATTCCGTCCCGAGGAATGGCTAATGGGGCTTGTATACAAAACCGTATCCCGCAGATATCCGTACGTTGCAAGTACAAATCGCAACGTTTCCCAATTCTCATCAACATGTCGATCTAAAACGTCTGCGCCTTCATCTCGTGCTCCTGTCTTGGACACATTGCAAACTCACCCGGAAGTCATGATTCAGATTTGCGGGTTTAAAGCTGTGGCCATGGTTCGATAATTGATTATACCGACACCACGATTTTGGACAGTATATATGTGTCTGTGGTGCCGGTGATGAAGTAGAGCTTTCCATCCGTGGACCAAGCGAGATTATCCAATATAGTCAGACTCGCGGGGTGCAATCGATGTTGCTCACGTTGGCTATCCGTGACGAATTGATTCGCCATAGGCGGCCCTGGACTCTTCACATTCCATTTTAAATACATCGGCATGACTCTAGTGTCATGTCTACTCATGACCAAGTTGAGCCATTGGATTGTCGCGGCATGGACGTATAGTGGGTCCGGCGAGGCTGATGACGATTGGCATCCCAAAGGTGCTCAGTTCAACCCTTAGAGCTCTCGATACCCCTCCAGCTCGACATCTGCGCTTCCGACTTCAAACGTCCACCAAGACATCGCACCCGCTCCTCCGTCCGCAACGCCATGGCCTTCCTCATCCTCGTCATCGGGGACCTACACATCCCAGACCGCGCCCTCGACATCCCAGCCAAGGTACACCCTGCTCCTCCTCCACGTCGCCATTCCCATCCTCGCGCTCGTCTCGCTCTGAAGCTCGACCCAAAGCATTAGGGAAAGCCACGTTGCTAACCCGTACAGTTTAAAAAACTCCTCGCTCCCGGCAAAATCGGCCAGACCCTCTGCCTCGGCAACCTTACCGACAAGCACACGTACGAATACCTCCGCTCCATAACGCCGGACCTCAAAATCGTCAAGGGCCGCAACGATGTGGAAGCCACCTCCCTCCCGCTCACACAGGTCGTCACCCACGGAAGCATCAGGATCGGCTTCCTCGAAGGGTTCACCCTCGTCTCCAGCGAGCCCGACCTGCTTCTGGCAGAAGCAAACCGGCTAGATGTCGACGTGCTGTGCTGGGGGGGCACCCACAAGTTCGACGCATTCGAGTACATGGACAAATTTTTCGTCAACCCGGGAAGCGCAACGGGGGCATTCTTGAATTCGTGGGGCGGCGTAGGGGAGGATCCTATGCCCAGCTTTTGCCTGATGGATGTACGTTGAGGCTGTGGCGCCGTGTGTCTGCACGCCTGGGAATGCTTACATTGACAAAATAATACAGGTCCAAGGTATTTCGCTGACGCTGTACGTCTACCAACTCCGCAAAGATGACAAGGGCAACGAAAATGTTGCTGTGGAGAAAGTTACATATACGAAACCAGTCGAACCGGCCGCCAATTCATCATGATGAACCGACTCACTCCGGAATAATCGCCATCCCCTCTAAATTCCATGACTTCACCCATATTCCAGCATACTATACTTGGAGCGGACAAAAGGCTTGACAGATACCCGCACAATCATAGCAGACATAATGAATGAATCTAGGTATCCAAGAATTCTCCAAACGGAGATGCTCTATTCCAACTGAAGGGCCGCAAAAGGCCAAGGAAATGAAAGCCACAATATGTAAATACAAGAAAGAACCCACAACCTTCATCGCTTGGTATCTCGAGCATTCAAACAAAATTCATACAATCAGTCTTTCGCCAAAATGATGCATCCAATTCCACGCCATGAATCAACTCCCCGTAAACAAAGCTGGAATGCCAGTGCTCATGAGTCGTAAACGTCGCTTTGATTTTTAAAATAAAAAAAGGGTCAGACGCCCTAATATGGAAGTCATCATTATACCATCATGCTTCGCCGCCGAGACACACTTCGCTCCTTGACAGAGCTGTCCTCCTCACTATCAACGGCTGCTGATCGCCGCCGCGTATTTGCCCCCCGACGTCGTGTGGCCCTTGTCGTCTCCGCAGGTGCATTGTTATCGATCTGTGGTGATGAGCTGGTAAACTCATAGACATCAACGTCGCCGCTCTCGTTTTCATCGGCTTCAAGGTTGAGATCTGCGGCAAACTCGCCCGCCCTTGAGGCCGGCCGACGACGTTCTGTAATGACCGCTGCAGATGCGTCTTGGGCCGAGCTCTTCTTTGCGAGAGGACTAGCTGAAATGCTTCCCGGCTCTGGGGCCTCAAACTCGTCGCTTGCGGGAGGAATGCGCCTCAAAGAATCCCCAACGTCAGACTCACGCTTAATCTTGGGACCCTCAGACGTTGATAGATCACATTGACTGGCCCTCCGAGCATATTTGCCCTCTCCCGCCACTGCATCAAAGAGCTCCTTGGTTGGCCGCCTCATCTTATCTCTGAGGTTTGGTTCTGCGTAGCTGATAGTTGTCCTATTCCTTCTGCTCGCCCGCGAAGTCTCGCCATTCAAAAATATATCAGCAGGTGGCGGAGTATCACCTCTTGGGTCATCCCCTCCAGGCGCTGGTTCCGGTGAATTTGGCGACGTCACGGCTGGTTCTGAGACCGTTGTGGCCAGGTCAGCTATCACAGTCTTCGTGACCGGCGGGGGAATTTCTAGTTTGGCGGCAGCATTCATCTTGGCCTTGGATTTCGTTCGTTCCTTGGTCGGCTTCGACTTTGCCAGCTCTGCTTTTGCCGTGCCAACCTCGTCTATCGCAATTGGTTTGGGATTCTTTCGGGGTGAGCTAACATCGTCATTGGTACTCTTTGAAGCCAGGGGTTTGCGACTATTGCCAGTAGTCACATGTTTCTCTCGAGCTTCTTTCCTCATATACGCAAGTTCCTTTAATGTCTTGCCTCCAGCCTTTTCTCGAATAGAAACCTTGTCTGCCATACCCCGCGGTGCTATATTCTCATTCGTCAATTGTCGGGGTGCGGTGTTTTCTGTCTCATCCTGTGCGAATTTCCTTTTTGATCCGGTCTTGACTGGAGCGGCGATATGCTCTGGTGCCGGTGTGCTAGGTTGTAGTATAGGATTTTGTCGTCGGTGACTAGGTTCCGTTCTCTTCTTTTCCGGCGATGGTAACGGCGCATCCGCTATTTTACTGGATCGGGGAGATGGAAGTGAAATCGGGGGCTCTATTAGTCTCCTCGGACTGGATACGTCCTTTGTTGCTAATGTAGCTCGTGGAGGAGAGTCGACTTTTGTTGGCTCCTGTTCAATCAGTGGTTGTTTGGCGGGAGGCTCTACTTCGGCAGAGTCGGCTTCAGATCTCAGAGCCCGGATTTGTTCAGGGCTGTGATGCACCTTATTAGCATTCATACCCAAGCGCTGGTTCGGAACCATAACCTACTTCAGAGATTGCCGTGAAGATGACCTGTTTTCAGATATGTGGCCCAGCTCTTCGATATCCCTAGCAACATCGCGCAATCTCCGTTGAGAAGGGCTAGGTCTACCTGCAATGTAGCTCATGCGTTGTTTGATAGATTTCCGAATTCGAGGAGAATGTCTTTTCATAGGGGGTTCCAAGCCCAACCCGGACAAGAGCGTCCCCCATTCCGTTAGTTGCGATTCCAGCTTGGCCTTGATTGCCAGCGCATGATCTGCGATCCGTCTCGCCTCGTTGTCTTCGACCTGTTTCTCGAGTTCCAGGATGCGACTTCGAAGCTCCAAGTTCTCAGAAAGCATGAGGGCGCATTCACTTTCCAACTCTCTGATCCGCAAAGCGCGTACATTGTTTGATTTTGCGAGATCCCTATTCTGTCGTAACATCTTCTTGCGAACTGTTGCAACATTTCGTCAATATCCAAGCCAATAATGAGACAGAGTATGGAGTGGCAAATGGCATTGTACGCACGCGTTTCGAGGCTGTCCGAAGACATTGGTACTTCGTTGAGCCTCGCCATAGCTCATAGTGTGCCCTGTACGTGTGAAAAGAGTATGGCTTATATCTTCGAACGGATCTGAGATTGTCGGTACCAGGGAGCAATGCAAGTTGGAGGTACTGTAGAGCGAGTTGTTGTGTTAGTCGGTCTACCGTGGCCGGCCAGCTCCCAGAATTTCTGGTGTTGTCTGTCATTCATATTTACATTTTGGGCCGGTCTGGCAACAAATCAATGCGAGGCCCACAGCTGGTTGCTGGGTTACTGGCGGCAACGCACGTGAGTGGGTGAAGCCCCACCAGCCCTTTTGGAATGCAGACTGAAGAAAGAAGACTGAAGGCGCGTGGGGGGAACTCCAAGATCTGAATGTCACGATAGCATTTGTGCTTGATCAAATAGTTCGCAGCCAGCACGCAGGCACTCACATTATGTCATATCCTACAAGGTCGCTTTCGTCGCACATGCGAGCTCCCAGTAGCTCCACATCGTCTGCTTCACCGTCGCCAGCCCTGCTTGCGCGAATCGAGGAAAAGAAGGCCGAATTACAGAGCTTGAGAGAGCTTCGAGACCTCAGTGCTGCAGTGTCCAATCAAATGGAGGCGCTGGAGCAGAAATTGACGACTCTGTCTGATGGGACCGAGGGTATGGCATCGACCGTTGATGAACAGAACGATTTTTGCTAACTTTTGTGCAGCGGTAGCAGCTGTTATGGGTAATTGGCATAATGTGCTACGAGCGATTAATATGGCATCTAGTACGTTCAAAAATAAACATCAATCATCTACTTTTGCTAATCATGTCTTTTTTTTTTTCGCAGCAAAACTCGCAAAACCATCGAACGACACTACCATGGAGGATGCATCTGCATCCAACGAATCACTTCCCCAAACTCTCGTGCGAATACCAACTGAGCATGCACCAACATTACAAGCTCAGGCCGATGCCATTGAAGCTGCTGCTGTGGAGGGCGATTCAACTGCGAACACATGAGTTGGCCATGCACACGAATGAATTCCTCTAGGCGGATAGGTTGTGCCCGCGATCCCTCTCGAGGCCGTCTCATACCCTGCGGTCATCAAAGACTGGCAGCTTCCTACGTTGGGGGTTTGAAAAGGCAGGGACATCGCAGTTGCTTGCCTTCGTGCCGGCCAAGTGGCTGCCACACTCTGCACAATGCCGATCAGGCAGGCCGCTTACTTGTTTATGTACAAGCATCGGGCAGCGACAACGTTGAAGCAACCGTTGAAGCGGGGCCATCATCAAACACCACGCGATGAAACGCGTCTGGTGGCGTCGGTGCTGGTGTGGCGTAACGGGTGTCGAGCAACGAGGAAAATGAGGATATGTACCCGGATGACCTGCCTAACTGAGGGGACCTCGATTTATTGCGCTTCCTCGCCTGCCTGTCGTCAGCAATTGAAGAGGGGCTTGAGGGGAAAGCACTTGCAACGCTGCCGACCGGAGTGCTGCGTGCCAAGGCACAGATTAAGTTTGTGTGCTCGGCAGATGACAGAGGGGAAAGAAAGAAGGACTGGGGTACGGAGTAGCTAAGCAACACACGTCTGCAGATGCTCCACTGTCTTGTGTAAACAAAACATTCAACATCCAACTCTCCTCCAAACCGTTTACTGCTTCCGATAGCTTGCATTGTCTTTCAAACTCACCATTGCTATGCCCTTGCAGCCTAGCAGACATAAGCCAACATTAAAAACCGCATCCTCATCAATTGATACCGATTGCGTAGAAACCCCGTTGGGCCCTGACCATCCCTGCCTTGTCCGGGTTGTCCGCGAAATTACATATACGCATCGCCACCAATAATTACGGGGTGTCTAGTCACAATCTGCCCCTGACTGACTGCGTGGAACCTTGACGCATTACGGAGTTTTCCAGGGTCATTTCAAGGCATTGGTGGCCTGGCTACAAGAACATGTCACGAGCCGTGGCTCTCAATTCATCGCATCGCCATGACGCCCAAAGCTTCGACATTTTTGACGACAGGTCTTTGACCCCGGACAAACACGCCCATGTCGACGCCACTGGGAACAGCGACGTGCTTAAAGAGCTGTCGCATGGCCAAAGCCAGAATCGAGTAACACCTGCAGTTCTGGCAAAGAGTCCGCGAAGGGACCCGACTTCGCCAGAGAACAAGGCGGCCAAGACTCAGAGCAACAGGCGAGCAAGCCGTGCCCGACGTCCGCAAATTGATTCGGAGACGTTTGAGCCTCTCGGTGCCGTTCCAGAAGAAACTAGCAGCCTCATAGAGCCTGAAGAGAATCTTGTTGCTATTTCACCAGCCACAAAAGACGACAAGGTGAATGGTGAGTTACAGTCCACTTTGAGCTCACTACTGAGTCGAAGACACCTTGGATCAACATTCGTGGTCTGACATGTGCGGCCAGGTTATCATACAAAACTGAATGAAGACCACCTCGCTGGTATTCTGGACCCAAAATCTGCTCTCGAAGGACAAGTCGAGAAACATCTCGCAGGTCAGTTCGAATGGATCATGACGTATCCTGCAGAAGCAAGTTCCCAAACAGCCAGTGGCCCTCAAGACGAGTACAATGCGGGAAGCGAGTCTAGGAGTCAACTCTATGGCTGCAATTTGCTGCCTGTCAGGCGACGTCGCACCTCCCAAACCGGGTCTGGAATCGCAACTGACATATATACCCTTTTAGCAACACCGCTTAACAAAGATTCATACCCTACTCCTCTGACCATGGATGGTACGAGGAGCGCAGACAGTCCCGTCTTTTTGGCAATGTCGCAGGCGCCACCACCTCCTTATCCTGGCACTCCGCTAAAGGCTCCCGAAGTAGTGACTATGGTCGAGCAGGCGATTTCGCCGTCTCTCACGGTCATGAGCGAAAATAGTCCGAGCGTGGTGGCTGGCTCGTCACGAACCGGATCCTTTTCAATCCCTCGAATTGAGGATTCCCTGGAAGAGTTGGACAGGCTTGAAGAGGAGCTCGAGGCAATCCACGATCTAACTCTCCCTCGCGGGTCGACAACCGCCAACACGCAGGCTTCCGAGCCTAATCCCGTGACTCCTTCTGGTGTGACACCATCGGCCCCTGCGAAATCCAAGGAAGCTTCTGTTGCTGGGTGCTCCGCGACAGTCCGTGCAAGGCCCTCCCAGAAAGCGCGGCCCTACTTGAGAAGATCCGCATCCTTGACGCTCCGTGGAAAGAGACGCGCGCAGCAAGAATCATCAGAGAGCCAAAAGTCAGAATCCAGCGTTTCTCGTAGCCAATCCAGCATTAATCGCCTCAGTACACCAAAGCATCCTATCAAGTCTGCCAAACCACCTACTGTGCCTAAATTTGAGTTGCCAGGCGAGGCTGTAGCACGTCGCCTGAAGGAGCAACGCGAGGCTCGTCAAGCTCAGCAGCAGGCAGAGGCCCAGAGAACCCAGGCTGCTATCCCAAAACCAAGAGTCACGAATAAGCCTTTGCCCAAACCGACGTTTGAGTTGCCAGGCGAAGCCATCTCTCGCCGCAAGCGAGAGGAACGGGAGGCCAAACTGAAAGCGGAGGAAGAAGAGCAGCGAAAACGACGAGAGTTTAAGGCTCGACCTGTACGACACAGTATTGGGCCGTCTACGCTACCCCGGGAAACACTGACAAGCCGCGCTCGCCAGAGTAGAGCATCCCCGGAAGCAAATGGCGAGAATGACAGCCAGGGTGCTCAACGAAAGCGCATGTCTGTTGGTGTTGTCCGTTCCGTCCCAGTACCCTCTCAGGTTGACAATTCCTCCCAGACGCGGGGACGAAATTCGACCATAGCTTCTGCCACTGAAGAGAGTCGAGCAGCTTCGACGTCAACGGGTAGTGCAGGTGGCAAGCGGATTTCGGTATCGTTGGAGGAACTACACGTGCAGAGACAACGAGGCAAGGACATTTTCACACGAGACAACTGCTACACGCAGGATAGGGAAAAAACCAAGCGAGAGAGAGAGCTTGCGGCCAAGACGGCACGGGAACAAGCTGCTGAGCGTTCTAGAATTGCGAGTCGGGAGTGGGCCGAGAAGAAACGTCTGAGGGACCTGGCAGCCAAGCGGGCGAAGGCGACACAGGAAGCCGGAAAGGAGGTGAAAGCTTGAAATTGTCTGGCTTTCAGTTTTGACACTATATTGTACAGTATCGGCCCCGTGCTTCTTTGAGCCGCTGTGGCTCTTTGTTTCTGCCGTCTTGTTTATCTGTTTGTTGACGGGGGCGTTTGCAGGGGTAAAAGGGTTACCAGGGCATTGGCGTTATTGTTATTTTGGCATGTATTTATAAGATTTGGATTATCAGCCAAAACATCACAAGCCGAAGGCAGGTTCGCACGGCTGCGCAGAATACATATAGCAGAGCAATTGTGTATCCTATATACGCTCGTGTGATGAATGGCCCTCAACCCCTTGCTTGCCACGCCGAGTTAGACTGCACGTCTATCAAAGATAGAGATTCCAGCCCCACACCGGTGACCAAACCATGACATGACGCTCTACTTCAACGACACGCCATCTACTTGCCGTCAAGACAGACGCGGCACACGTCCGAAATTCAGATCCCTACGATCCCTTTTGGAGCCGCAGAGCCTGTACTGGCTCACAGTCAGTTTAGGGCGGTGAAGATGGCGGATCAAGCTGGGTGTAGTGAAGCCAGCGTTGCGGTCCCGGTCAACGAAGGCGTGATAATTGGCAAGCGCCAGCCCGCATCCGAGGCATATCCCAAACCCCTCGACATCTTCTACGGGATTACTTATGCGACAGCCGAGAGGTTCCGGCCAGCGCAGTCGTGTGCCCCCGTCAACAAGGGCCGTGTCCTGGACGCCCAAAACGTGGGCAAGTACGTGCCCTGTCCGATGGCATCGTTTGAAACCGAAGAGGGGACACTGCGACTGAACATTTTCCGCCCGTCCAAGCCGTCATCCGACTCGTCGTCGGGGGACACCAAGTTGCCCGTTGGTGTACATCCACGGAGGGGCATACTTGTTCGGCCACCCGCTGGAGCGGGATCTCGCCTCGCTGGTGGCGTGGGCACCGAGAGATGTTCTCGTGGTGGCGCGCGGGGCTTGGCTTCAAGACCGGCGACGGCGGGGAGGGGGACGCGGGCGTCGAGTTGAATCTCGGGCTGAGGGACCAGAGGGCCGCCGTGGACTGGGTGGTGAGATGGGCCGGGGCGTTTGGCGGCGGGGGAAGACGTGACGCTCATGGGTGTTAGTGCCGGGGCGCATTCTGTAAGTTCCCTCTCTGCTCGGTGCTGTCATGGTGGTTCTGGGTAAAATGGGGGGCATGCTGAAGCTCGACTTTGGTTAGATTGGCCATCACCTCGTGCACCCGGCTCCTCTGGCCTTCACCGAGGCCATTCTCGAGTCCGGGGCGCCGACTGCCCGGTCGGTCCTTTGCCCCCGGCACGCGCGGCGGCGAGGAGGAGGAGGAGGCCCGTCCACTGCGCGACCTCCCGGCGGGTGTCGTCGTCGACGTGGCCGTTCCAGCCGGTCGTCGACGGCGCGGGCGGCGTGATTCCCGACATCCCCCTCCGGCAGGTGGACGCGCTGTGCAGGTCGGACTGGGCCAGGACGCTCTCCGTCATCACGGGGTTCTGCTCCCACGAGGGGACGCAGTTCGTGCCCCTGGACCTCGCTACGAACGCCCAGTTCTCCGCGCTCGTGCCCTCCCTCACGGGCGGCCATCTCGACGCCCTGGAACGGCTGTACCCGGATGCCGTGACGGGCCCTTCGAAGCCGTACGAGAACGCGCCCGGCTGCAGGCACGGCGCGCAGTTCCGCCGTCTGCACGAGGCGTACGCCCACTACGCATATATATGCCCCGTTCTGCACACGGCGCATAGGCTGTCCTGCGCCGGCGCGAGGGTCTACCTGTACGAGTACGCGGCTACGTCAGAGCCGTTCGGTGCCGCGTCGCATGGCGACCAGGCGCCGGTTGTCGCGCACGACATGGAAACGCTCAGAGGTCAGCGGAGACTGGTGGCCGTGGCGGAGGAGATGGCGTCTCGCTGGGGGCAGTTTATGGTCTCGCCGACGGGGGAGATTACGTCGTGGCCGAGGTTTCAAAGCCCATTTGGCGATGGGCGCGGCGGCGGGGAGTTGTTGGTGTTTGGAAAGGGGAACGACGAGGCTGCCGGCGGGAAGAGTGAGGGCGTAGCCGTGCGCAAGAGGATTCTGACCGACGAGGAAATGGCCCAGTGTAAGTTTTGGTGGGATCGGATGGAGTTGAGTCAAGGGATGGGCGTGAGCGGGCAATATAGGGAATAGAGCTTGGGTACAATATTAGCTTCCATGCGAAGAGACCAAGATGGAACTTCTGTTGAGAGCGCCGGATATGCCGTCACCACATTACACACTAGACTCTTTGAAGAAAACGCTTTCTCTGTTTTATTTTGCAACTGTGGCGCTTGACACAACATCTTCAACAAAGTCTACTGTATCAATTGAGGCAACTACCAATCCATATATACACCGACAGCATCACTGTCCTGCGGCAGCCCATCCCGCTCAGAAATATAAAACCAAACTCTTCCTCTATACACGACGAATCAATCCCATTACAGGCCAAACGAATGATGCTCCTCCACATTATGTCCCCCTTCCTTCCTTCCCTCGCCGCTTCGCTGTTGAAATTGGTAATAGATATGTGTTTTTTCCACAGAAAAACAAGTCTTCTCAAGATAAGAAAATGTAAAAGTCGCTGTTTCGACAGAGTATTATGTACATGTACATGTCCTCATTGCGTGCTGAGGCAGATGTGTAAAAAAAAAAAAAAACTTCAAACGTGCGAAGCTGCATGTTGTAGAATATCCCGCTTCAATACCCCGATTTTGTTTACGGCTTGCTATAAAATGCCGCTGCGTGCTTATTGTACTGTAGAATGTTATGCCATCATTAACGTTGCTTCAATCGAGAATGAACTGGCTGAAGAATGGTAAATGCCAATAAAATGCCAGCACCAAATATTCAAAAGCCTAGAAGCCCCCATTCAGTTCGACTGTAAGTTTCCCGTATATAATTCTCGTCTCAAAGTGTAAGAAAAGTGTTGAAGAGAATGCTAAGTTTGGGTATCTCTATGGACAGGTGCATGGATATGGTAAATCCAGCGACCAAGTGTTGACAAACGTCTGAAACGATGCGAAGCGCCTCAGAAGTTTTGGGCAATACCAGCACTTTGCTGAGGGTAATGTGACGGATTCTCGATACGAGTGTTGCGTCGCGCTGGGTTATCCCTAATGACAGCTTGGCCGCCAAGCTCCTGGGCCCTCTGGTCCCCATAGGGGTTCTGGCCATACTGGTCATAATAACCACCGCCATTAGCGTAGATTCCGACGTCGGAGCCCTCAGATCGACCTGTAGCGCTGTAGGAAGATGAAGCGTTTGATGGGCCACGGTGAACATCGCCACCTCGATTGTTTGCGGCTGAAGGACCCATGGCGCCCATAATTTCGCCGTCTGGAGACGAGGAGCCATCCACGGTAGGGTCGGTTTTGGTTTCGGAAGGGTTTCCACGGGTATGTCCGCCGCCATCTGAGAAGGCGCCGGCAGTCATACCACCAGACATTGTGGTTGAAGTTTTGCGGCCCATGGAACCTGCTGCAGTAGTTGAGCCCCAGCCACGGTATCCCGATCCGCCTTCATCCCGCATCTCGTAAGTATCGGTACCCAGACCGACAGCTGGAATTGTAGGGTCGGCATTGGGATTGTAGGAGTAGTCCTCGACCTCCTTGCGGCGTTCCTCTTCAGACTCCTGACGAGCACGCCTCTTTCGCCACCAGAACAAGCCCACCAGCGCCAACAAAGCAATTGCAGCAATAGGTACAACTACTCCAATCGCAACCTTGGCTGGTTGGCTAAGACCACCACTGTTTCCATCACCGGCCGGGTTGATAGGCGTAGCAGTTGAACTACCCGATACACTTGCCGAAGTAGACGACGGTCCCGCGGTTGGCGTTGTCGTATTTACGACGACTTTAGTAGTTGTCGATGAAGCAGGCGTAACAGTTACGATCGTTGAACTGGATATCGTAGGCTCGGGAGTAGAAGTTGTTGGTGCCGGCGGGGGGGTGCTTGACGTCGAAGACGCAGAAGTAGGCGTAGGAGACGGTGATGATGTCTCTGGCTGAGGCGTACTAGAAGGCGATGATGAGGGAGTGGTAGGTACCGGTGCTGGCGGCGGCGAGGAGGAACTTGACGATGTCGTCGCAGGCGGCTGCGGCTGCGGCTGCGGCGACTCGGACGACGGCGAGGGCGAGGGCGATGATGCTGATGGCGGTGAAGGTGAACTAGGCGTTGTATTTGGGGACGGAGAGGGCACAGAGGACGGGGAACTTGGCGATTGTCCCAGTGAAGTCTCTGGGCCACTGGTCTGGGCACCCGACCCACGAGAAGAGTCAGACATGTTGGAAGCGCGGAGATTCAATTCGTGAATCTGCCTGATATCGAGAGCGTTAGCATGATGAGGCATTGATTGCCACCACTGCAGCGTTCGAGCCATGCCCGACGTTCTGATTAAGCCCATGAAGGAAGGGAAAACAAGAAAGAGAAAGCCAGGCATTGACGGGCAAACAAGAATTTAGTTTGCGGGGATGAAGACGGCAAAGATGACGAAATCTCCATTTGAGAACACAACAGTATGGGCTTATAGTAACGCTGGCACGGACATGAACGAAGCCGTACAACGGCGAAACTTGGCGTGGCACTACTCAGGAGCCGTTGAAGCTGCAAACATACCTGTCAAACTACGGCTCCAACTCCGAGGAGAGGCAGCGGCGACACACACCAAGGTCGAGGGCAATTGAGGACGAACCGAGTCGACGACGGCCAAAGAAGGGGTCGAAGGCTCGCAACAAGCCGGCGTGCCTGTTTCGTGATTCAAACGACGATCGCCGACGTGGTCTCCTGTCGAAAGGTGTGTCTGGAGAGGAGAGGGAGAGATGAAAAGGCAGCAGAACAAGAGTGGAGCGGGAAAAATGTATGGTCGTGACTGAACAATGGGAGGCGTGGGATAGCCGACGGGGGAGAACAAGAGGCCGCTTGAGACACGAATGCAACAGATGGAGCGACCAGACTGGCAGTAGTAGCAGCAGCTTCGACAGGGGCCGGGCTGGATGGAGATTGGGTGACGGGCCCGTCCTCAGGCCGCATCAAACTGAGACTGTGAGAGTGCCTGTGAGCGAGCGGCAGCGGCAGGCCTGAGACGCACAAGCGCGTGAGAGCGAACCGGGGTGTGTCAATTAGGAGGCGTGGGTTCCAATTAATTGTGGTGGGCTGTGGTACGATGGCCGCAACTGTCTCCCGCCGACGCTCTTGGTGATTGGAAATGTCCCCCAGGCCCAGCCGAGCATTGACTGCGTCCTACGCCAATCGCCCTTTTGGCGAAGATGATGGCCTGGCCGGGCGATGGAATGAAGCTCGTACCGCCAGGCTGTCAGGCTGTCGCCGGGTGGGTGAAGATGGAGACGGTACGGAGTTGCAATAGTAATAACATTAGAAGAATCAGAAAAACACACTGGACCCAGTCGTGGGGTTTGGTTGGATACGAGAAAATCTGACTGCATCCATCAGATACTCCATGTCCCGCATGGTTGGAGGAAGGCGCGACACGGGCACCTTCCCGGTCCCTGCCATCAAATGGCGCTGTATCCTCTTGGCCTCCAAGCGCCTTCCGTTGTCGAGACTCGAGGGCGCTGAGCCCCGGTCCCTTTTCTTCTTCTTTTTGTCTTCCTCTACGGCGTACGCCGAACGCAGTGCTCTCACGTCCACTGAAGATTGCCGCCACCGACCGGCTGATGCTGTGCCATTGGACGAGGGTGCAGGCAACAAACGGTGCAACATTGCCTGCGCTTGTGCAGCACTGCCTTGATGGGCCGAGGGGCGTCGATGCGCCAAATAAGTTGCGGCGGAGGCGCATCCTCGATTCGATTTTTAGGCTTTGCCCTTTCCTGGTCACTGCTAAGCTACACGCGGCGGAAAATGGGATCGAGAGGCATGATTACGGGGTACTTCGGACCGAACGAGGATGCCTTCAGACGAATGCGTACACAGACGCCGCTGCCATGGCCCGCCTAGGATTGAAAGCTAGGCAACCTAATGTTTTCCTGATCTATGCGCGAGTTGACGCATGTAAAATGACTGGACATTCTTTCCTGCTATTTTCAGAGCGTGAGGTGCCGCCACGTTAAAAATAGGGCGAGGTACTCCGTAATCCCTATGGCGGCTGATCCAACTCTTTGGCCCAGCTCGTGAGGTTGTTGCCACCGACGTTTTCGTCATCCATCAGCGTTATTTCTGACGCTCCCTCTCAAGGCATAAGAAGCTGCTACTAGTCGTCTGAGATGGAAAAGGGGACGCCTGGAGTTTATTCGTCTGCCCTCTGGCGCTGTAGCGCCCCCTTTAGTGGCCCAGGTGGCTTGGACACCCGATACCGGGCCCATTTTTCTATGGATAACGTACAAGTTATCCCCACGAACGCTAAAAATCGCTTAATTTCAACGGTGCACGGTCAATCCATCTACTTGACGCTATTCCGAGATTTCTACCGTCTGCAGCGGCTGTCGTAGACGATACGGCACGTGACTTGGCAGCACGTGGCTTACTGTAATTTGCTAGGCATATCACCCCAGTTGACGGCAAGTAATAGTATATACCATTATCTAAGCATATTGTTCTTGGGCTAGCTTAGACTATCAAAGGAAGATTCACTACGAAGTGGCTTACACAAGGACATTGGAAATAAAAAGAGTTCGAGTATAATAAATCAATTGTAAAAACCAGCTACCCATTGGCGACTAAGTGACTCGTCCACTTGGTCTCCGACGGGTAGTAAAGAATGTAATAATAGATAAAATCTAAGCTTATTGCCTGCTATCCAAGTACCCTGAGTGGCAGACGTGAAAATACGAAGACCCTGACACGGCACAACGATTGCATCGTGTTTGTCCAGAACGAGGTTTATAGCAAACCAAGTTGCCATACATGTTAATTTGCTCGTTCCCCCGTTTTATTCAGCACGACCGCCTAGGCTGAGCTGACATTAATACTTCTTGGCATAGCTCGAGGTACCCTTTACAGCGCGCTGGAACTCCTGGGAGATGAGCTGTTCCGCGGCGGGTGAAAGATGGAGGGCGTCATTCCTGCATTTTGTTTTAGATTGATATTCCAGTTTCCTACAAAGGTGCCGAGGCCTTGATACAACTTACCACAAGTAGCTCGACTGGGGTCCGCTCGCCGTTTGGCAGTTATTCTCACTGACGCAGGTCTTGTACGGCTTGGACACCTCGGTAAACTGAAAAGTGCTAGGCGATGCGATGACATCCGAAAAGAACTTGTAGGAATCGAAGATGGTAATAGTTGCGTCTGCCCACCGCTGTGACTTGGTCCCCGCAACAACTTGGTCGTATTTTGCATTAACATTCTGGACGTCGGCGCTCAGACTATCCTTTAGCTTCGGGTAGTCGATGGCGTACAAAGGCGCCTTCTCGAGTGGTGCCAGCTTGAACAGGACAATGTTTCTAGCGCCTTGACTGTACATTTTGTCGAGGGCGGCCCAGACACAGGTCAGATAGCTGTCAACTGTACTGGACGCGTCCACGTTATGGTGCATGCCAGCCTTGGTTCCGATGATGCCATCTTTGCCGAGGTCGTTTGTGCCGATCCAAAGCGTGTAAACGGTGTTGTCCGGGTTCAGGTTTTTGTACAGGCCGAGTTTCTTGTCCGTGTCAAATAGAGGTAATTCGTATTCCAACACAGCAGGGTATGGGATGTTGGTGGTTTCGTTGAATGTACGTTGGTCGAAGTTGGTGTGTGTACACATGGCGCCCCCGACGGCATAGTCGTAGAGCGTGGCTCCGGTGTCTTTGGCGACCAATCGCCCCCATATACGGCCGTTGCTGAAGGGACTATCGGCTTCGGGGAGCATCTGGCCGGCTGGGGGCAGCTTTCCATTCTGCTTGATGTAGGCAAAGCGGGCTTCGTCCGAGTAGCTATCGCCAAAAACAACGAGGTTTTCAAATTTCCCCAAGGCGGCAGGAGCAGAAATGACCCCGGAGGTTATAGCAAGCACGGTGAGAAGCTTGGTTGCCATGATGGGTCAAGATTGGAAGAGTAGAGGCGAAGTTGTTCTGAAAAGTTGATGAATAAACTCGTAGTGGGATAGGATATCTGCTTGAGAATAAGTCTGATATCCGAGAGACTTGAAGGCTGGGAGTGGTCTGCTTATATACTTATACAATACTGGAGTTCAAACTAATAACTTGGACAATTCCACCCGGACTAGTTCCTCCGGTCGTCAATATCGTCGCTCACTCACAGTCCCAAGAGAGCTTGTACCGAGTCTCATTCTCACGACCATCTTCTCACCGCGCGTCAACTCAAAACGCAGGACCGACTCTTCCGGTCAATCTTGCCTCTTGCACAAGACATGTCGTGATGCTTTACCGAGACATGATGTGATGTATGAGGCTAGCAAATATCCTCGTCGGAGCATGATATAAACACTAGGCCTAACTGAGGCGAATGAAGCGTGCGCCCTACTACCGTGTTAATGCCGCAAGGGCTCCGCAAGAGTATTCTGTGAGGATAAGCCAGCTATCACGATCGAGAGCCTGCCATGATCAAAGTATACATCATTCGATTGTAGTCAAGTTTTCCAAAGTATTCTAGGGCTGTATAGGGAGAGGGCCATCATTGGTGCCTTCGCATCAGCATACGAATGTCTGGAGGCAAGTTCCAGCAAAGGGCTTACATCAGTTTTGCCAGTTGACATCTTGTGAGGCCTCAAAAATATCCCAGGGCTGTACAGGGAGAGGCTTACCATTGGTGTCTTCGCATCAGCATACAGGGGGTACGTTTCAGTAAAGGGTTTATATCTGTTCCATTACCAGTTGACATCTCGTAGCGTCCCAGTAAAGCACCCAGAGGTCCCAGTTCGATGGGGGAGCGCCAATTACATATGATGCCATTGAACGGCTCGACCCGGGAACCCCTCGCTGTCCCAGGAAATTGCACAAAAGATGACATCTGGAGTTGTGCCCACCTCGGGCTATCACATACCGCGTATTCTTCGGCCGAAAGGGCGTCGGATAAGCTGAGGCCGAGAGCCGCTAGTACGACGAGCACTTCTCCAGCGGCAGATGAGAAGCTATGCGAAAAGCTACAAGCAACAAATGAGCACCCAAGCAGTGGGGCAGCATGAAAGACGCTCGGCTGTAATATCGCAACGTTCCAAAGAGCTTCGATTTGGGCACTGAATCATGTCCACCAGCCTATGTTTCACTGCAGAGGCAGATAACAACAGCTCCGGCCTCCCCCTTCGTGCCATCCTACTTGCCCAAGTCAGTGGCCCTTTACCACCTGATAGATCCCACGGCTACGTGACGTCCAGATAGGTTTGCGAGAGCA